AAGTCAGAAGCCCCAGTAGTTCCTGCTGCCCACTTACACTACTCTGCACCTTCCCTGGCTATTGCATGTAATGGCTGGACAAGAAGCAGACCTTTCCTACACTAGACTTCAGCTCTGATCTTCCAGACCAGAGGCATTTTATGGCGCCTTTCAGCCATTCAAAGGGCAGCCTCGAAGCTGATGCCCTTCTCAGACATTCTTTCCCTGGTACCTAAGCAGCTGGAGAACAGGATCACCTGGTCTTCACTTGTCACTCCCTTATTCAGGCATCCAAAGATACACAGTACACTTGTTCTACTGACCACTGCTCACAACAATGACCTCACGTTCAGTTGTACGTTCAGAGCCTCTGCCCTAACCATCCTGCAAACGCATGTACTGCAAGCGTGTCTACAGTGTATTCCTGTAGACCTGACCTTATATTTGGTCATATTAAAACATGATCCTAACCCAACTATCCAAGCCTTGGGTGACATGGTTTAGTGTGAGGCATCCCTGCCCGTGGCAGAGGGATTGGAACTAGATGATCTTGAGGTCCTTTTCAACCCAAACCATTCTATGATTCTGTGAAATGGTTGTATGTCAGCAACGTATCTCCTTCTGATTACATCCTCAGCCTGCATCATCTCCAGACTTATCAGGAACTATCTCCTTGATCACTGACTAAAAATAAATAGGACCAAGGACCAAATCACAGCAACATTTTAATGGTAATTCTTTGCCTAACATTTGCCAGTTTAAAGCCTGCAGAGATTTTCTGTACAGTTAGATGAAAGGCAAACTAATACAGTATGTATTCTAATTTGAAATGACAAATGAGACATAGTGAGAGATTTAACAGAGAAAAGCATCACCTGCTTTGCCGAACAAACTGCAATCAAGAAAAGGGGAAAAAATTTTGGCACAATCATTCTACCTCCACCCACAGTATCACTGGTGGTGTTCAAGGCCAGGTCGGACAGAGCGTTGGGTGGCATGGTTTAGTGTGAGGTGTCCCTGCCCGTGGCAGGGGGTTGGAACTGGATGATCTTAAGGTCCTTTCCAACCCTAACTATTCTATGATTCTATGATTATATTACTCTCTTTTAATTTTTTAACTGATTGACTTCCAAGTCTGATGTTTTATTGGTTTTTGTACAGTCCCTCCTAGTTTTTAAATACCTGGCCCACCCAACTCACCTCTCAAATACTGGCACGTCTTTTGCTTTTTCAGTCTTGTAGGACTGCAGTGCTCAAAAATTGTTAAAAACCTCAGCGGCAACTGTTGATAAGAGTTTCTTAGATGGCTCTTTTAAATCTCTTGAACGCAAATTCTTCAGACTTGCTGATTTGAAAATCTTCAATTTTACTTAGTGTGTAGAGTTTGTCTTCACTAGCTGTTAATCAACATCCTGAAGTTATTATTAGAAGGAAAATGCCTATGCTACCAACACTGTGTGACAGTAACTATTGAGTGGCTTAATTGTCCAATAACCTGGCAAATTTTCTGTTATGACTAGCAAATTACCTCAATAACCCCAACAGATTGCATTAGCACAGCTTCCTAATACACTTCAAAAATTCTCTACCTCTTATACCTGAGATTTCTCCTCATACCCTTTAATACTGTAATAAATAAAAGTAGCTGTTTTCTGTAACCGAGGTCATTTCCACTGACAGGACTCTCAGTGAAGCTGATGCTATTTGGACATATGAGTAAGCTGAAACACTGGTAAAGCACCAACTTTCCTGTGCTGTGCTCCAGTCCTGAATCCTCAGCTCCATGGCGTACTTAAGCTTCCAGAGCAGGAGGTACAAGAAGGGGATGAAAGTTGAGGAGGAGTGAGGTTACTTTCCAAAAGGAAACATGTAGGACAGAATGAGGGGCAGATGCTTAGCCCACTCCTTCTTGGACTTGTTCTCCTGTGTAGCTGATAGACACCAGCACTGCATTTTCACTGTCTCCAGCACAGCTTGCCTGACCAAGAAGAATCCTAGAATCACAGGATGGTTTGGGTTGGAAAGGACCTTAAAGCTCATCCAGTTCCAACCGCTTTGCCATGGGTAGGGTCACCTTCCACTGGACCAGGCTACTCAAAGCCCCATCCAACCTGGCCTTGAACGCTGCCAGGGATGGAGCAGCCACAGCTTCTCTGGATGACTGTCCTCTCTGGCACAGCCTAAAGGCTGTAACTTGGAAATGGAAGAGTACTACTACAGCCAGTCTCGTAAGTGTGTGCAAGAGTGCTAAGTATATTTTATGACTCATTCTGGAATCAAAATGATATCCTTTCAGTTGCTGGATTCCAGCGCTATTCCTTGCTTGAATAGCCATTGCATCATACAGGTGACACCAACAATTTGGGAAGCATCAGTTACTTCAGGATTGCTAGCTACCAACAGTGGCAAGCAGGATACTTCAGCTGGATAGGGCAGAAACAGACAGTTCGCTCAAAGTATGAGACAGCACACAGCAGCAAGTTGCTCTGTCTCTAAGCGGGAATCAAGAAGAGCGGGGATGTACAGGGCATATCTCAGCTATCACATGCCTGGTACACAACACAGAGACCCTCAGAGCACAAGAACGATCAAAGTCTTTAACTTTAACAAAAATACTCGCATACCTTTACCAAAATGAACTTTTGAATGATCTTCCAGTGCATGGACAATAGGCCAGAAAAAAGGGACATCCAGTTCCTCTAGACACAGCTACACCTTCAGAGAACAGTGAGCTATACGAACCACCCCACTAAAACTATACACGGCACAATACCATATGTATCACTAAGTACACAGGAAGAATGAGGGCTCTTTGGAAAAGTCTTGTAGTATAGCACAAAAAGTGGAAAATTTTCTCAAAGATATGCCAGGCTTTAATTCTGTGCTACTGATGACTGTCAGCTGCAGTGAAGGAAGTTACATGGGTTGGTGCTGATGAAAATTTTACAGCAGCTCTAACATTTTTCAAGTTTCAAAGGTTTAAATGTAAATATTCATGATCTCCACAGAGTGTTTTCCACATCAAATTGATTTTGAATATTTTATCATACAAACCACTAAAATTTTACATGAACTTTCAAAGAACGCTTACTCGTTCACAAAAGTGGAAAATTTCAACTGCAAGTGTTAGAACGCTGAGAAGATGATGAGCATGAAAACTAAGGATTCTGTAACTGGTGTCTCTTAAAATGTAGACAGCTTAGCTGGCCATGAAAAATGTCATGTCTCTCCTTGGAAATCCCTATATACTTGGGCCAGGACATTCCTAGCTCAGCTTCAAAGTATTTCAAGATCACAGTGCAAGATGAAAGCACCACAGAAATCATTCTTTTAGGGTTTAACAGCCACTAAGATATGTAACTGTGCACAGTCTAAGCACATCAACTGAATTTTCCATTACTTGACAGTAAATTAAATTTGAACGGATGCCTCCTATAATGGTGAAAAAAAAAAAAAACCAACAAAAAATCACACTTGAAACTAATTGGCTTTTTCATTTTCTCATTTATACACTCAATAATTGTGAAAGGAGTTAATTTTGAGGAAAAAATCCTCAGAAACATCGGAAGCTGCCTGAAATGTCTTTGACTGAAGTTACACTAAACATACCAATGACAGCAAAGAGTTAAAATTAAAACCATGACTAATTCCTGATAAATCACACCTAATGAATAATATCTGCTTAATATACCACATACAGCAGCAGAAAAATTTTGCATACCAGTACTAGGGATACCCTGGGCAGGGAGAACAGCAAATAAAAAAAGTGCATTTATTTTTACTATCTTCAGTTATCAATTAATAAAATATTACAGTGATGACTCTACAGTATTGATAAACAGGCTTACAGACAGTGGGAGCAGGAGGAGTATTTCGTAATACAGCAGATGAATTTACAGAAGAATAATCTCACTTTTCACTGCTAATTGCACAAAACAGGAAACATCTACCTGTGACAAATACATCTTGAAAACGGTGGGACCTCTCCAGGTCCAGCCCAAGGTAAATGTTCGCTCCACCCGTGCTGGGGAACACATGCTGCAGCTCCTGCCCCCTCCACAAGGAAGCACACAGAGATGTGCAAGGAGCTTTCCCTTTCCTGCTCCAAGCTGCAAATGTTTAAAGGAAACCTTGTTCCAAGAGGCAGAGAGTAAGCTCAGAGCACAGATCATGGAGAGAAAACAGCAATTTGATTCAAGCGTGCTCTGCCGATGTTTCCCCCCTCCCTGTACCAAGTGTTGCTAAGCTCTAATGTTATCTGATGTTCAAAGCTATCTTCAGGCACACTAACCCTTTGTTCCGCAGGGCAGCTGAGTTATTTCTATTGAGAAAGAACAAACTGATGCTAGATAGCCTTGGTGACTTAAAAAACATCACCAATATAAAGAGTAAATCCCTCTCTAAACCAATTTTTATCTATGGCACAGAGAAGGATAAAGCACAACCTCATCAGGCTGCAGTTCTTTGCTGGTGCAGATACTCCCATCGACTGCAAATGGAAGATTTCACTACAAACTTAAACCAGTCAGACCAACAAGTCCTCAGCATAACTTCCAGAGTATTTTCTGTGAAAAAATCTTACCACTGAGCACATGTCTGATAAAGGAGGAATGTGTATGTCCATGCACTTCATAGATGACCCCCCCCCGCCCTTCTACAGACAGGGACACCTCTCCTTTACATACTGTCCTGCTGTATGCATCAGGTACTGTAATCAGGACCAAAACAAATGTGAAAAGAGGCTTTGTGAAAATTAAAACCTTTGAAACATAAATGAAGCTATCTGTTTAACACTGCAAGTACTAAAGATGATTTGGCCAGCTAATACTACAAATGTATCTTAAATATTAAAAATAAGGTGCCATTTAGAATAGTAGTGTGCATTTCTGTGAATAACCCCTGAGACTATGTGAACTTCTTAAAGAAAGAGAGAGACAAACAGTTGTGATATCATTCGTCCCTTATATAGTTAAATGCAAATTCTCCTTTACAGTCATATTCCTGATATCTCCCTGCATACACAGCTGATACGCCACCTACTGCAAAGCTGAGCTGACAGTCGGAGCAATGCTAGCAGCATTTCCATTCCAACATCGTGCCGGAGCTTAATAAAGGTGCTTTTTTAAAAAGAAAAAAAAATTCTTTTTTCAAGCTGACAAGAACAAAGCAAGATAGCTGGCTTTTTGTCCTTGCTTTGATAATGGAGAGAAAAATAAGCAGAAGAGAAAATGAATGCGAAGAAAAACACAGCAACTCCGAAGGCTCTGAGCAAGACAAGGACTATAAAACGTCTCTGATTACTCTGAATGTTGGTGGCTATCTATACATCACACAAAAACAGACACTAACCAAGTATCCAGATTCTTTTCTGGAAGGGATCATAAATGGTAAAATAATGTGCCCGTTTGATGCAGATGGTCATTACTTCATAGACAGAGATGGACTCCTTTTCAGACACATTCTCAACTTCCTACGAAATGGAGAACTTCTTCTACCAGAAGGATTTCGAGAAAATCAACTTTTGGCACAAGAAGCGGATTTTTTCCAGCTTAAGGTACTCTCGGATGCAGTGAAATCAAAGTGGGAGAAGGAACAGCTAGCATCTCGGGAGACTACTTTCCTGGAAATAACTGACAGCCACGACCGTTCACAAGGACTTAGAATCTTTTGTAATGCTCCTGATTTCATTGCAAAAATAAAATCCAGAATTGTACTGGTGTCCAAAAGCAGGCTGGATGGATTTCCAGAGGAGTTTTCTGTATCTTCAAATATTATTCAATTCAAGTACTTCATAAAGTCTGAGAACGGTACACGGCTGGTACTGAAGGAGGACAACACCTTTGTCTGCACCCTGGAAACTCTTAAGTTTGAGGCTATAATGACAGCTTTAAAATGTGGATTCAGATTGCTGACCAGTCTGGATTGTTCGAAAGGGTCAATTGTTCACAGCGATGCACTTCATTTTATCAAGTAATCACAAAACCAAAGGAAACGAGCATGCAGCCAGTAAGCCTCCGTGACCTGCAGCCTCCTGGCATCACGATAATATATCTAACTAGCCTTGTACCACAGAGCTGGCTGCTGATCAATTGCTGTGAGCTAATGGTATGTAAATCTCACAATGACATCCATCTCTGGCTTACTTAAGCTGAAAGAAAATGTTATGTCTGACTTTAATAAAATTATCTGCTAAACATTGTAAACACAGACTGAATGCTTTATGCTGTTTGTAATACATGTTTTCTGGATGCTGTCTTTCAACCAGTCTCTAGCTGAATCTTTGTGTACTTGGGTGATTAACATGCATACACCTAACTGCTCTGCTGAACAGCAAGTAGTGAAAGCATTTTCATATAATAAGCAGGCTTAAAATATGTTTTGCTTACAACAAATTCAGAGTGGATTTTAACTGGAATAAATTATTTTAAATGTTCATTAGTCTTTATGCTAATCTATTGTACTGAATTTGCAAAAAAGGGTTTAAGATTAACCAACTTGATTTTAAAGTTAAATGATTTCTCAATTCACTTAAAACTAAACTTACGGCTGTGTTATTACATTAATAAAAATTGCCAAAGCATGTAAACCAACAAAATAATGTAAGGAGGGGGGAATTCATTCTATTACTGGAAATGAGTTGAATCTGCACAGAATGTTAAATTTTCTAATTATATATACATCTCAAATGTCTAATAAAAATATTTGACATAAAGTTTCATGTAACAGGTTTCCAGTAATGACATCCTATACTGCTGAAGTCACTATTTCCTACCAATCACTTGTGCTTGTACGGACAGTCGAGTAACAGACCCCTTGCTTTCCACAATGGCTTACTAAAAGCAAATAGTACTACTAGCTTTCAATAGACCACCTGCTGGCATTACACTCTAAGTAACAGAATAAGTACCTTCTTTCTCCCCATCTCCACTATTTATCAAATCTTTTCATTTATATTTCAAACAAAGCTTTACTATCTTCTATGAAACAACTATATCTAATTTAACTGCAAGTGTTACAAACCAGCCACTCTGCAAAAGCAGACTGAAAAATCATCACAAGAGGCAGAAAGAAGCTGCACTAACTCTAAATTTAAGCTTTGTTCATCACTGAATCCAACTGTTATTCCAGCTCATATGAACCCAAAATTCAAGTGAAATTTTATAAAAGAAAAAAAAAAACAACCAGTTCCCCAACTTTCCCAAAACATCAACTTTTATAGAAATAAATGACATAGTAAGAATGTCAACAAAATGCAGTACACTCCATGCAAGAAGTGACAACCGAGGAAAATAGCTAACACAAAATAGGCTGAGAACAGTATCATTTCAGCTTTTAGGGGGAACAAATCCACCCTTAGTAGTAGTGACTGGGAATGTAAATGCAAAGTCTGCTTATCCTTCAACATTAAATACTATTTCACTTGTAACATTTAATGCGTGTCATTAACTAGGTCCCTTACAGAGATGAATTGAGAGAGGGACAGTGTATCTCCAGACCAGGCAGCAGTGACCGAAACATTACAATATGATTTTATCAAATGGAGAAATCCTTTCCAGAATACTCCATCAGAATGAACCCACTGTTTAGAAACAACAAACTTTTCTATGCAGTCCCCATGTTACAGACCATAAAAGATGTGGTTCCAAGTAGAACTTTTTCAAACTGAACTGTTTAAAAATCTCCACATTTCAAGCATATGAGCTCTAGAGCTGTTCATGTATCCCAAAACTTCTCTGAGTTTGTTCTATTTCATTAACTACCTACAAACAAAAGACATAGTAAAATACAGTTCTTCACATACACCATCACCATGTGTCAGCCCCCCTCCTTTGCTTCCTGCAAGTTATTTTCAAATTGGTATCTTCAAAAAATTCCTTATTAACCACTAACCTTGTACATACAAGAATCTGTGGGAATTCTGTGAAAAGTAAATGTGAAAATTCCCTTAAAGAAATCCAAAATCCTGCTGATATTCTACGTCAAGAGATAGAAACACTATAACGTGGAACAATTACATGAAAAGCCCTTTGTGGACACAACTGTCTACATAAGCAAGAAAAAAAGTGGCAAGACAATCTAAAAAAGGTCCATAAGTTATTTGTAAGTTTTAAAGAAGCATGTTCCCAGCGCTGTCAAGTACACAGCCTGCAGAAGCACAATGTCTGGAGGAGGCTGTTGCTCCTAGGATGTCAAATCATCCATTTTCACTTAAACACTTTTGGTTATCACTTTCACTTTTAACGGATCTTTGATTGAGATTTAAAAGATCATTACAGTTGAAAAGTACAAAAAAAAAAAAATTGCAAAAATCAGGGTTTTTTTCAAATAAGTAATACATGTTAAGTAAAATATATTGTGGTTGCCTGCCTTTCAGTTGGGCTCTTAGGATGGCAAACATCAAGGAACTGTTAGCACTTTAGTATCCGAAAGCATTACCGGTATTTCCTCTCTTAACTCATGAAAAAGCAGTAGAGAATTTGATTGTACTGCATTTATTGTAGAAAATGCTTTTGGAATATAAGCTATTCACAAGCTCATAATTGCAGGTAAAATTCAAACAATCTGAAACATCTTTTAAGAATATTCTATAGCTATTCTCCAACGATTTACGGGAAAATCTTTATTTGCCAGGCTTTGGCTCAGAGAACCGGCTTCCTTCTTAAGCCTATGAAAAAGAAAGAGAACTTGATACCATTTTTTTTTCCCCAAGTGAAAAATGTACTTGTAATTGTTCCAGGTTACAGTGTTTTCTAAGCATTAGTAAAAATAAATTCCTGTGTTGTTTTATTTTTGTTACTTAAAACTGAATGATTCATTACCTTAAAGTACTTTTCACTGATTTATTTTTTTTTATTTCTGTGTGAATAACCCTGACATCTATGGCACACAGGTAAAGTCATCTGCTATAACACTAACTTCAATCTTGTCTTCCCATTTTCATGAGCACTCATACATTTCTACAAGTGTCAGGGTTTGAGAGTTTTACATGCCATCCCTGATCAAAGGCACCTCACTCTGCTGTTTGATTCACACAGCAGAAACAGAAGGAAAATAGGGGTAAAAAAAAATCATTCTCTTCCCTGTTCACACTGAACAAAGCCACAACCATGATGAATCACACCATACCACTTCAAGCTAGCTAAAAACTTCAGTAGTTTTTCAAACCAGGGCACGGAGGTGTGTTGCTTTCATGTATGACCAAAATGACCACATAAAACCTCCATACTATGAATAACATTTGCTTTTTACTCTGTAAATATACTAAATATAACATAAATATACTTTGCATATGTTCAGTCACTCAGGTGGCTATTTGTGTTCCACCATTGTAGGGTGTATCAGAAAAAGGCACTAATACTATGACAATAAGAACAGTTCACAGCCAAGTGCTTAAGTCAGAAATACTAACAGTTATCGGAACAACTTTACTTCAAATATGATGTGCATACAAAGTACTTCTATTCTTCCTTCTCTCATTAAGACTTGGATCACAATGAACCTAGCAGAAGAGTCCTACAAGTATCAGCAAGGAATGACAATTTCCATAATTTCTCTGATGATCTTCAATAAAAAATTCCTTCCCCTTCCCCAAGGAGGCACTTTAACCTGCTCCCAGGCTTGGGCAGCTCCATTTGCTTCCCTGACCATTTTCTTGGTTGAGAAAAGGAGCCACCAAGCAGAAAGAACAGAGGGAGCTGAAGGCAGGACTGACCCCCATGCAGTACAAAAAGAATATCCTTGCCCCTATGAATTCCTTGAAAAAATACAGGTAAATGACAAACTGACTAAAACACCCACACTTGGAAACCCACCTTTTCCATCAGTGGAGGAGAAGTCAGCTGCTCTTCTATCACACTTGGCAGTACGCTGGCGTAGGTACCAACTATTTGGTTTATTTCTACATAAGGACAAAACCTAAGAGTTGATGCACTACATCAGACTAAGGTCTGTCTAGCCCAGCGTCCCCTGGTGACTGTGAACTGTTTCCATGCCCTGATCCCCCACATCTCTGAGTAGAACCACCATTTCTGATCCTTTGACCCTCACATCCTTCCCCTTATCTTGTTTCCCTCTACCCCACCATACAACTACTTTTCACTTTTCTTTCACCATACCTCTCCCTTTCACTAGACACGTTACTGTGCTTTGTTAGGGATGCCTAGGTAAGAAGATAAACCCAGGAAAAAAAAATATATAAGATATTCCCTTGAAGTACTTCCTCAGTCTCCAGCCATTTACTGCCCAATGACTTCTAGAGCCAGATGTGGTTTCTGGAGGTAGCACTGATGCTGTGAAACATGCAGGCTGCACAAGGTCAAATTATAGCTCCAGCTACACCTTCAGTACCTGCTCACCCACTGACCAGTGTTTCACAGCGTCGTAATTGCGTTACTGACATTTTCACTCATGTCTTATTTTTAATTGCCTTTTTACATTTGTACTTAATACGACTGTATAAGTGGCAATTGGTCACTTCTTTTCTACAGTAGGTAATATTTTTCTAGATCTTAAAGGGGAAAAAAATTACATCATCATTTGCAGCAATCAGTGGTACTGTTATTTTCACCTCTTACAAGCATTACAAGGTTTCTATTCAGTAAGATGAGAACAGCTGAAGAAAATGATCTTCCTCCTCCTCTCCCCATTAGTATACAAGCAGAATAAGGGCAGGCAACAAATACTACAATTTAATAATGGCAGTGCCTCATCCATGAATTTATTTGGGTAGAAGTGTCATGTTGCCCTGATTCTGCTGACTTATGAATCAGGCTTGGGGACGAAGGGGACAAGTTAACTTGGGTCTATGACAAAATAAGTATTATTTTCTTCAGCTAGAACTGTTTCATCTTTGATAAATAATTATTGCCTAACCCTTATTTTGTCTCCTGTCCTGCAACAAAGGACAGAAATTACTATTGACAGGGAAGAGACTACTAGTTATAAACCTGAAGGTGTTTTCATATGAAGAGATAGGCTTGCGTAATTCACAAGGTTGAGACAAAAGCCATCGATATGGCACAAGAAACTTAAGATCAGAAAATGAACATTATGCGTTTTAATTACTTTTGAAATAGACGTTCTCCAAGTCCTCTCTGCTGGTATATCACAAAGAACACCGTTGCAGAACACTGCTGCTATAAACCATCATCATTCGCAATAAAATGCCAGAAAAGAAGCAGCACAGCAAGGACTGGGGAAAGTAGGAGGGAGATGTATGATGACACCTGAAGAATGCAGATGAGCAAGCACTCGGGAAAAGAAAGCACAGCTCTCTTTCTTTCTGAGGGAAATTGCATAATATCCTGTGGAACTAGACAGTGGATGTCTTTTCCTAAAAATGTGTTTAGTAGGAGTACCACACACAGCTAAAGCAACAGTCTCCCAAAAAGCTGTTTCCATCTCTGCTGGTAACAGTTCAACATCATTGCCATTATCACTTAATGCCACACTTGTTCATTTTAAGCTTCAGAAGAGAATACTGCTCTTTGACTTCAGACACAAAATCATTCACAAAGCGGGTACAATAATTACAGCTGTACACAGCAGCTACTCATTTAAAACACTATTAGCACACAATGACATGCAAGCTCAACATGTTAAGGTTTCAAAACCAAGTAGTTAGATGATGACTGTTATAAATTTAGCCATCCTGAAGGTATGTAAACTTCTGATAACATTAAAAATGACTATGGTATTGCCTTGTTCACTGGT